AAGACAATCGATTTCATCAAAATCTTGAAATCGATAGGGGAGAGTCTGTTGAAGTCGATTTCATCTCTGTTGGAGTCGATATCATCTCAATCGAATTGGGTTAGCTGTTGGAGTCGATATCATCTTAATCGAATTGGGTTAGAGATATGCACGATGGGCTAATCTGGCGGGGGTTTAGGGTTAGAGATATGCACGATGAAATCGATGAAATCTTTTAGATGAAATCAAGTTGTGTTGGATGGCGATAAACAGGGGCTAATCTGGCGGGGGTTTAGGGATAAGCATTAGATGAAATTGAATTGGGTTGCAATAAAATGGGCGATTTCATGCGATAAAATGGGATTGAGTTTAGGAAGGGGGTGATTAGGATAGTATGCTTTAGTAAGTTGTACTTAAAGAAATAGAAGTTGTTTTTAAGAGTTTAAGAGTTTAAGAGATCAAGAGTTTGAGCCAAATGCATTATAAGATAGTATAGATAATTATATATAGGTAAGAGAATCCACACCACTGCTTGCTGTAGTTCTATCTTGTTTAAGTGGAGCAGCATACTTAAGGGGGCAGTGCCTTTGGCTTCTGTTACAAAGTTGATTGACACCAAGTTCAAAACCAGTAAAGTCTGGAGACAGACCAACAATGGAATTTAGATTTATAACTAATTTGACATCTAATATTCTAGTAGATTGTAGAAATACAAGTAGCAAATTTCTGTCAAAGAAGCATGAAATCCATATCAATATCAATATAAAAATTGAAAACTAAGGGGCTGTTTGTTTGGCTTTTAATGTCCTCTTAATCGGTAAGAGGTCAAGGTTGTTTGGCAAAAAAAAAATGGCTCTTAAAGGTTACATTACCCCTCTTAACCATTTTGCATCTAAGGTTCCACTAAACCATTCAGATTTGTATTTTTCCAACTTTGTCCTCTCTACCCACCGTTCCTTCCCACTCCCCCCTTTTTCGTCGCCTTCATTGCCGATCTCTCTATTTTGACGTCTTCACCATCTCTGGATCTCTTGAACCCGTCGCCTTCGTCCCCTTTCCCAGGTCGGCCGGTTGTCGCTGATGACCTCCATCGTCTCCATCGCCGGTGACCTCCATCGTCTCCATCAACATGATTCAACTCCAGAGCCACTACAAATGCCTATGGGAGTACCTGTGTACCAGGACGAATCGAAGATAACACCACGTATTCTTCACCATCTGTATTCACAACGTAAACCCTAGAATTATCGATTAAAGGCTAGAAACACCGATTTCTTGGGAAGAATCGAAGAACATGAAATCCTATTTTTGGTATTTGAAATTTTAGATTTTGATTTTTAATTTTGAAAGGGTTTATGTGTAGATAGAAAGGGGATTGAACCTGTTTTTGCGTTTTTGGAAGAGATGAACTCGACTTGCACCATGAAATTACCTGATTTCTTCGACAATATTTCATTCAATATTAAATCATATATGTGTACTTTAATTGTCGGTGCATGACAGAAAGATTGATATCTCTCGTTCATATGGGACAATAAGATTTTCTGTATTTGGTACTTATTTTTGTCTTGATATATACACCTTTGTGATTGGATTCATAGCTTGGTAGTTGGCAGGCACTCATATAAGTACTTGTACAACATTGAAATTTGTAAAACTTTCATATATGTTTTTAAATGTAATATTATAGAAGGATTTTATAACTGAAAGTCATTACCTTCTTCGTCTAAGATCAATTTTCTTGAAGAGATATGTTGCGTGTTTTCATGGAAGTGGCATTAATTCAAACTTCATTCATTTAATGGAAGTTGTTGTCTGGATACGTATACAATGTTTTTTATCGGGCGTCGACGATAAATGTTTCTCGAGCACACAATTAATACTTAAAATGGTCAAAAATTAATCTTTTTAGAAATGTCAGTTTTAGATATCCGCATGGGGTTCACTGGAATTTTCAAGCACAACCTCTTGAGCGTTGAATACTTTTCTTATCCGGTTTCACGGCACCAACATTCAACACAAGCATTTCCATCCAAGAATCACGTTACATCGTGACATTGATTATCTATACACTTGTAAGCCACTTATTTTGTTTGGTTGAGGTCCAAACTACCACTTGCTAAAGCAAAGTGAAAAATCCATTGTATTAATTGTGCACCAAGCTTTAAGTTTTACCATAAAGCACTATAAAATAATTACTTCTGCCTAATAAAATATTTTATAGAACTTAAGTTTATAAGACTAAATTATAAAATGTTTTATTTAAAAACGTTACAATAGAGTTATAAGACATTATTGGGCATTTTGATAAACTTTTAGGACGTTTTTAAAATAAAGTGTTATATTAGCTAACAATTTTATAGGACATTTTTTATAACCGTCCTATAAACCTATATTTTTATAGGACACTTGTTTCTCTAATAAGACATATTTTCAAATAATGTCGTATAGAATAATTAATACTTATTTAAAAACGTCCTAAATTTGTTAAAACGCATAAAATCACGGCTTTGAGGCTTTTGATCATAACAGATATTGCTTGCGACAATATTTGTAGGGCAAAGCGCATTTCCGGTCTTGAAACAACTGATAACATTTCGGTTAAAATTGTATAGAAAATTCATTATGATCTTCATTGGCTATGGATGCTATATTGTAGCAGTTCGTTACGGGAGATTTAAGGGACGATTGGAGTTAGTTGGGATGTGGTATTAATGGTAATTTTGCATTTATTGATTAGGTCGAAATCGATGGTGAATAAACCCTAGTCAGGGGGATCGCGATCCGAGGGATCAAATACCAACCAATCAAAAACAAGTACACAGAGGATGGTTAAAAATCTCTCTGGCCTCCATCCCACTATATAAACTCACTACTCGCTACTGCAGTTTACATCGATTTCATTGCAGTCTCCATGGATGAAACTGTGCGCCCTCATAATCCAACACCCGCTCACCATTCGCTCCTCCGTATCACTGTAAGCCTTCGTTCTTTCTTCTCGCTAGTTTTATTGATCGATCTGAGTGGGGTATGAATTCGCTTTATCCAATTCGGATTTTCGTTCTTCCTTTTGTTGAATCGATTTAGATTGCAAACGATTTTTACTCATTGGCGGATTTGATTTCGAAACCAATTTGGAATCCACGCACATAGTTAATTTCTAGGGCTTGGTTGTTTCTAATTTCTAGGGCTTGGTTGTTTCTGTTTATTCAATCTTGGTCGACATGTACATTTCCTTCAGCAGGTTAATATTTGTGGTGAGGTAGCCAAGAATGGATGTTGTTACAACGTCAATGTTCATAACATTTCCAGAGGATCTACGCCATGGTCAACTCTTATCTGGGCAAGGACCCACATGAACAAGTTCCAGTCCTATTCCCATGGTTGGTTTTCATCTCCTTTCCCTTTTTAATTAACATTTTATTTTGATCGTTTTTTCATATGATGCAAATCGTAATTGGGTCATCTTGTTTTAAAGATTGATTACACAAGTTATAATGTTCTTGATCTTTAAGTCTGCATTTGAGGTATGTCACTTAAGCATATAACTTGGGTTTCAAGATTTGTACCACTCTATTGGTTAAATGCAAATTGAGCACTGCAAATTGGTGAAAGTGAGTGATATTAATTGGACAAGTTGTGGAAATTTTGAAAAGACAAACATAGTCGACACTTTTTGTCCAAAATCCATGATTCTGACCTTATTTCTCGTTATGTAGATAAGGATGGCACTCATTTAGGATCAGTCACAAAAGATGATGTTCCCTTGGCTTACACTGATATCTTGCCTAATGATTCATTATGTCAAGGAGAAATATCTGTGAATGGCTTTGGGTACCCAAGAAGGAGGTTTGTACGATAAACACGTGGAATCAACTAAATCTGACGATAACATATCAGGAGAAAGGAAGGATCTTTCTTATAGAGTTGACACAAATCATTCAAACTTCATTGGTATAGAAGACCTGGATAATTATGATATTGTCTTCGGAGATCAAAAATGGCATTCTAGTGATACCCATTTCTCATACCGATATGATGATCTATTCCCTCATTTGCCTACAAATAAGGATGTTGAGGAAGAAGAAATCTTAGGAGAGGTTTTGGATTTCATCCCTGAAGATGATATGTTAACTGTGGAGAAGACAGGTTGTGAGCCTGAAGATGTTATGGTATTAGACCAGGACATTCAAATGACAACAATTTAATAAAGATATTAAATTGTTGTCATTTGAATGTCCTGGTCTAATACCATAACATCCTTAGCTACATACATGGTGGATGATGTTGGTAAAGATATGGTGGCGTTAGCAAGTAAAATCCATATAGACCATGAAGCCTGAAACAGCAGAATCTGCAAAGCATGAGACTGCTGCTATAGAGTTTGGCTGTGCACTGCTTCAAAGAAACTTGAAAAAATAGTGCAACTGAGAATCAAGATTATATAGAGTCTGGTTGTGCATCGTTTCAAAGCAACTTAAAAAAACAGTGCAACTGAGAATCAAGGTTATAGAGTCTGGCTGTGCATCGCTTCAAAGCAACTTAAAAAAATAGTGCAACTAAGAATCAAGATTGTGTATCCCCACTCAAGTTTTGGATTTGTTTAACCATTTTACTTGATTCCTTATACAACAAAGGTTTTGTTATTCATATTACAAGATTGAACTTGCTTTCGGAGTCTATTGGGTGGAAATTCTTTTAGGACTTTCACCACGATGATGCTCATTGTGTGGCCTTGCTTCTTTTGAAATGTTTTTGCTTGTTAAGAGGTCCAAAAGTGTCTTATAAATTTATTACAACGACTTTAGATAAAAATTTCATTTTTGATTTTATAAATTAAGTTTTATAAAATGGTTTATTAGAACACTTATTTTTTTTTTTTTGCAACTAACTCAACTAAGAACTCTCGACTGATTGAAGAATTAAGCCCAATTTATAGTCCAACAAGATTATTGGGTTTTTGGATGGACGCTAATGTTTTATTAATTATAAATAAACATCATTTATTTGTTTAAATGTTGAGCTAAATAATGTTTTCCAATTAGATTATTCAGTTATTTATGATATTTTTTTAAATTAAAAATATAGTCAAAATTTTATTAATAGTTTTTTTATTAACCTGGATATTCAAATTGTTATGCGAGTTGATTAATTTCGGGACGACCACCAAGCCTGCCAACCTATGCCATGTCCAACAGAGGCCAAAATCGCAGGGACGAAATCACCGCTCACCCTCTTGGACTTGGCGAAATAGGGATGAAATCAGTGGCCAAATTCAACGGGGACCAAATCACCAATTATGACGTCTTGCAGGCGGTTTAGTCCCTACGATCTGGTCTTGTTGTTTCTTCCGGTGGTTTGTCCCTGCGATTTGGCCCATATGATCGTCTCCATTGTATCTCCATGATGACAGCCCAAAGTGGGTGGGGAATAGGTTGGACTGAGATGTCATGGCCAGAGGTGTCATATTGGGGGTTCACCTAGAGGTCTCTATGAATATGTACACACACACATATATGGAGCGATCAAATGAAAACCACTCCAATTTGTAAAAACTACTCTCATCCGTCGTTAATCTTATGAAATTTTTTTCATGAAATTGTTAATCTTGTGAAATTGTTTCATATAATACTTTTTTTTGATAAATTTGTTTTATATGTGGTTATGAAATTGTTTCATATATTACTTAATAAAATTTTAATGAAACTGTTTCATGTATTTCTCTAAARTTAAAATAATGWAGATGATAATATCCATGATTAACACCCTCCACAATAAAAATGGTTAATCAACCTCTCATAATTACAAAAAAATGAACAAAATGAAAAATTATGATTGGTTGAATGAGGTTTTCACGGTTTTTACAAATTAAGTGGTTTTTATTTGAACCCACCCCTATATATATATATATATCTATACTACATATATAACCATTTAAGTCATTATCTTAATTACAACTTTTGAAGTATAGGTTACAACCATTTTATGCAATAAATTCAAAAAACTCTTAAAGACAAGTCACAAAGCATATGGTACAAGTTCTTTATGCATTGATTTTATTAGCCATGGTCAGACCTTTCTTTTTCTCTTCTCTTCTGTTCTTCTTCCTTTTCCAGCTTCCTTTCCTCCTGATCATGAAAGCTCCTGTGCGCTAAAACAAAATTGGTAAAGTCAACCATTTGCTTTCTTCAATTGCTCCAGCCTTTGCACATTCTAGCCCTAATTTCAGCCGTCTTGCTTCCCTTAAACAAGAAGAACACCCCATACCACATCTGGCTTCGTCCCTCTCTCTCCCGTGCTCTCCTCATCCTGCTCTCCTCCATCGTCCGTGCTCTCTCCGGTGTTCTCCTCATCCTGCTCTCCCCCGTCGTCCCTGTTCTCTCCTCCACCTTACCAGCATCGTCGTCTTCTTTCATAACACAGCAGGTGCTCTTCCTTTCAATTCTTCTACTCTATTAAATCATCTTCTGGTTCGATTTCTCCATCTTTGCTCTCATAAGCCAAGTTCAATTTTCAACAGGCTTCGACCTAATTGTTTTTGTAACCCTTCTCTTTTTACCGATTCAGTAGCTTTAGGGACCCCTTCAATCGATCTCTGTTGATCATTCTCTATTCAAGGTAACTGTAATGGTTTCTGTTTTCAAGGTATCGATCTCTTGCTTGTGGTTTATCGGTTTACAGTGGGTTTCGACCCTAATGGTTTATGTATCATACTTGCTTTGCCCAGTGAAGTCTTCAATCTTTTCTTTTTGACATGTCCCATTGAAATAGTTTTTATGTTAATTATACCTGTTTTCCAATTATCATCAAGACATATAAACTGATATTAGTCTTGGTTCACAATCTTTTGCTTAATTATCATTCATATTTGAATATTAATATCCCAGCTGCTATGGTAGCAATGAKGACCCATAGTGCACAAAGGAAGRACCTCCAATTCAACCAGTAACTCAGGRCTGTTRYATCAGCCATYAATGGAAATTTAGTTTAGTCTTGATTCATGACCAAATGTTGATGGTGATATAAAGGGATGGACAAAAATTCATTTTATGTTGAGGTCTTTGAAACTTCCTTATTCACTATATTGTATGACCCTATATTATATATATATTCAAATAAAAAAGGAAAGTCGTATATTTTGCCTCGCTTATTTGCTTCTCGGTGCGAAATCAATTCACCGGTGTACTTTCCAAGAAAGTCATTTTTATTGACAGAGTTCTAGGGAGGAAAAAACAAGATTTTGTGAAGTTCCAAGAGACCAATTGAAAACAATCACTGTAGGTTGACTTCATTCCTACCTTCATAAATGCTCCCCAACCAGCAACATTAGATTTATCAAATTTGGTTCAGATCAATCTAAGCAGAAGCATGGAAAAAACATGTTTAAATCGTAATGAACACAAAGTAATTTCAAATAAAAATAATCACCTATGAGCCCTTCAAACCTGTTTAAACCACCCTCTACATTTCGCCACATTGGCTTCAGAGTTTCCAGCCGATAACAACTCCGTTGAGTTACTGGTTCTACTATTACCTTCCATGAGGACGTTCTAACGATACAATAACTTAAATTAGTTTTACTATTACCTTATAATGCTAGCTCACCAGTCATGAAGTTCATTTCTCTATTCTGCGAGAGGTTACATCTTTAATTCCTGCAATATAGTTCGTTTTTGTATTGTATCTTTCATCTTAGATCTAAAATTATWRMATTAT